TTCAACTCTATAGGCGTCTTCACCGTATGAAGCAGCAACCTGAACAGACCATTCACAGTTATGTCTCTGAGTTACAAGTTCTTTGAGATCAGTTAGCACAGTGTGAACCTGAATGGGATAGTACTTCTACAGCTACTACTTATTCTAAGCTTCGCGATCGCCAACGTGTTTGGCATCTTCTGATGACTCTCAGGGATGAGTATGAACCTATTAGTGGTACTCTACTTCATCGTAGCCCATTGCCTTCCCTTGAAGTTGTAATCAAAGATTTGCTCTCTGAAGAAACTCGACTAAAAACACTTCGAGATGAGCGATCCTTATTATCTACTGATGTTGTTCTTGCTACTCCGGGTACGTCTGCTACTTCTTCAACTTCATCTAAATCTTCAAAATGGACTTTCTACAATTACTGCAAGAAGACTGGTCATACTATTTCGGAGTGCCACCGCTTGCAAGCCAAAAAGGCGTCTGGACAGAAGTCCTCATCCATGAGTTCTCAGGCTTCGAGTTCTACTGCAGCTGCTGCCACAGAGGATTCTTCTACTAACACCTCTCCAAAATTTTCTCTTAGAGATCTCCAAGCTCTTCTTCACCATCTCCAAGCTGATTCTGGTATGCCTTCTAATTCAGTCTTGTCCGTCACTCTAGGTACTACCTCATCATGGTATTTTGATTCTGCCTGTCGCAATCATATGACATCCAATTCATCCATGTTTACTTCCAAGTCATATCCTTCTATTGCACCAATTGTTCATACTATCGATAGTTCCACCTTAACTGTCAAAAGTGTAGGAACTATTTCAACATCTCGTTTGTCACTTCCTAACACTTTTTTGGTACCTCAATTATCTCTAAATCTTATATTTGTTGGACAATTATGTGAACTTGGTTTTGAAATACATTTCTAAAGTCGTGGTTGTACTGTACAGGATCCACGGACAAGGAAGATCATTGGGACAGACCGTAAGGTTGGGAGACTGTTTGAGCTATCATCTCTTCAATTACCATCTCTTGTTGCTGCTGTCACCTCTAGTGTCTGACATTCTCGCCTTTGTCACATTTCTACCTCTAAGTTAGGATCTTTAATTTCTAATGGATGTTTGGGTCCTGTTAAAACAACCCACTTTGATTGTGTTTCATGTCCTCTTTCAAAACATCATGTTTTGCCTTTTAATATAAGTGATTTTGTTTCTTCTGCACCTTTTAATCTTATTCATTCTGATATTTGGGGACCTTCGCCTCATAATACCATGTGTGGTTCGCGTTATTTTGTGATCTTCATTAATGATTTCTCTCGATATACATGGATTTATCTCATGCGTAATAAATCTGAATTACCTGCAATTTATATTCAATTTGCCACCATGATCAAAACTCAGTTTTCTTCTATCATCAAAATTTTTTGCACCGATAATGCCATGGAATATATAGAGATTCTATCCTTATCCAATTTCTTTCACAAAATGGAACTATCAATCATAGATCTTGTCCCGGTACCTCTCAACAAAATGGGCATGCAGAACGAAAACATAGGCATATTCTTGATACTGTTCGAGCTCTTTTAATCTCTTCCTCTTGTCCTGAACGATTTTAGGGGGAAGCAGCCCTCACTGCGGTTTATACCATCAACTGCATTCATTCTCCTGTTATTGGTAACATCTCTCCTTATGAACGATTGTATGGTCATTTCCCTGATTACCAGTCTCTTCATGTATTTGGTTGTGCTTGTTTTGTTCTATTACAACCTCATGAACATACCAAATTGGAACCAAAAACATGTCTATGTTGTTTTCTCGGGTATGGTATTGAACATAAAGGATATCGATGTTGGGATCCTCTTTCCCAAGACTTCACATATCTCGTCATGTTACCTTTTGGGAACACAAAATGTTCTCAAGTCTCTCCCCATTTCGAGTTACCACGACATCTTCACATTTTTTCATTGATCCTACTATTTCACTTTTTCCTGATGATTTACCTGCAGATCCGACTACTTCTTCCTTTGATAGCTCTAACAGTACTGCACAACCTGCAACCTCTCCGACTGCATCTACCTTGGCTATGGATCCTCCAGCTCTACCTTCTTCTGAGCCCTTGATTGCTCCTGATGAGTTCGACTCTGACCGTTCTGATGCTCCACTCCGTCGTTTTGGTAGGGTCACTAAACTTTCTGTTCTTCTTCGTGATTTTCATTGTTATTCTACCATTGTATCTTTATACAAGCCTTGCACCTATCGCGAGGCTAGTACTGACCCTCTATGGCAGAAAGCAATGGCAGAAGAAATCCAAGCTCTTACAAGCACTCATACTTGAGATTTAGTTGACCTACCTCCAGATAAATCCGTGATTGGTTGTAAATGGGTCTACAAAATCAAGACCCGGGCAGATGGTTCAGTTAAGAGGTATAAAGCTAGATTGGTAGCTAAAGGGTTCACACAGGAGAATGGCATTAATTATGAGGAGACTTTTGCCTCGGTTGCCCGTCTCACATCTGTTCGTAGTCTTATTGCAATTGCTGCAGCTAAGCACTGACAGCTATTTCAGATAGATGTTAAGAATGCCTTTCTCAATGGCGATCTTTCTGAAGAGATTTATATGCAGCCCCCTCCTGGTTATGATCATCTCCCTAATCAGGTTTGTCGTCTCCGTAAGGCTCTATATGGACTTAAGCGGGCGCCTCGAGCATGGTTCTCCAAATTCAGCTCTACTGTCTGTCAGTTTGGTTTTAAATCTAGCACTTATGATCATGCCTTGTTCATCCGTAAGACCTCTCAGGGTTGTGTACTTCTCCTCCTTTATGTGGATGACATGATCATTACTGGCGATGATTTGCAGGGCATTTCCGCTCTTAAGACTTTTCTTAGCAAAYAGTTTGAAATGAAAGATCTTGGTCGCCTCAATTATTTCCTAGGCGTTGAGGTCTCCTCCGACCAATCGGGATATTATCTGTCTCAGGCCAAGTATGCTACTGATCTTATTTCTCGTGCAGGACTCACTGATACTAAGACTGTTACCACTCCGATTGAGCTTAATGCCCATTTTACAACCACTAATTTCTCGTGTAGGACTGTTACCACTCGTGCAGGACTCACTTATTTCTCGTGCAGTCTTGTATACCTTACTGTTACTCGTCCTGATATTGCGTATGTTGTTCATATTGTAAGTCAGTTCATGTCTGCCCCTCACACTACTCATTATGCTGCTGTGCTTCGTATCATCCGTTATGTCAATGGCACTTTGTTTTATGGACTTCACTACTCTAGTTCTTCCTCTCTTCAGTTGATCGCATACTCTGATGATGATTAGGCTGGTGATCCTACTGATAGACGCTCCACTACTAGTTATTGCTTCTTTCTTGGAGATTCTCTTGTATCTTTGCGTAGTAAGAAGCAAACGGTTGTCTCTCGTTCCAGTACTGAAGCTAAATATCGAGCTCTTGCTGACACTACCTCCGAGCTGTTATGATTACGATGGTTACTCTATGACATGGGACTTACTCATTCATCTGCAACCTCACTTTACTGTGACAATCGTAGCGCCATACAGATTGCCCACAATGATGTATTCCATGAGCGCACTAAGCATATTGAGACTGATTGTCACTTTCTTCATCATCATGTGCTTGAGGGTACTGTTCGCCTTGTTCCTGTCTCTTCCCATGATCAGCCTGCCGATATATTTACCAAAGCTCACTCTCCTCTTCGCTTCCGTGCTCTAGTTGGCAAACTCCAGATGACTGATACATTACCATCTTGAGTTTGAGGGGGGATGTTAGTATTCTGTCAAAATTACTATCCTAGAATTAAGGAGAGATAGTTCTATCACAATTAGTATCCTATCATTATCTCCTTAATTCTAGGAGAGATAGTCCTATCGAAAATTGGCTGTACATTTCCTCTTTGTATTCTAACTTAGGTAGTCGACTTTGTATCTCTAGCTCTATTATAAATAAGGGTTGTAACCTATTGAATGATATATCAAGAATTATTATTTTCCCACTTGTCTTCTTTGCTGGTTCGTATCAGTTTAGTGCGAAAGTATAGAAGTGTAAATTGAGATTTAAGTATAAATTATTTTTGTTTGTTTGTATGGATGAAAGAAAATAAAACCTGAACAATTTTTACCTTATTTTTGTTTCAATTTGTATCTTATTTATTTCTTCTTATTGCACCCTTACACATTTGTATTAGTGCAAATGAAATTGCAATGCAAACAAACAGGGTTGCACTATTGCATAAGCTTTTTTTTTGGTAAATGGTAACGCACTACTTGCATAAGCTGAAATCTTGCAAGCAAAAAAAAAAAAACTTGCAAGATAGGATCCGAGTTCTATTTCAGTTCGGGTTGGCACCCAGATCGAAAAGTTTTGGTCCAATCCCGATTTCACGAAGACACGAAGTAGATGGTGTATAGACCATCTACACCCGACCAGACCAGCCTGATTCGGATTGAATTCTTTTGCTCTTTCGCTTAACATGAGGGACCAGAAAAACTTGCCACGTGGAAAGAAGTAGATGGTGTGTAGAAGCATGTTGGGCACACCCAATTTCCTCTTCCACTTACACATTTCAAAATCGTGTGGAAAAAGTACTGCCTCTGCCGTGGTCAAAAAGGCAAAAACTGCAAAACCTGACCCTGTCTACAGTACCCGCAGAGAATTTGCCGTTTTCTTGCATTTAAAACAGTAGGTGGGCCCACAAATGGTTGAGTAGATCTCCTTTTTTTGGGGGGTAAAAAAGTTAAGTGGATCCAGTAGGGCCCAATCCATTTGTTTGTTTCGTTTTGCCCAATCCATTAGCGCATTATAACGGATTTGCAAATTTCCGAATAAACTTGGGCCGTTCGATTCCCTTTGTAGAGATGCTCCTGATGTGCGACTGTAATGGCTTGTTAGGAGATGTTGGCAGCGTTATGTTGGTAGCGGATCTGAACTTGTCTGGGGCTGGGAGCCTGGGAGAGTGTCTCTGTAAATTATCGTCTCTTCGTATTATTGTCTGTAATTGTATCCTGCTCGTTGATCAAATTTCAGATTTCGTGTTCTTTCATTCTTTGATGCACACAGAAGAGAGTGAGAAGGCAAAACGAACTTAATACCAACACTCTAATCCTGGGAGAAGCCCAACGACATTGAATTGGTTCTCTTCCTAATTCTAACTTTCTAAGCTCGAATCTTGCATCAATGGCGTCTTGATTTGGTACTTGCATTGCTTCCTTCTTTACGTTCACCGAATATCTAGGGTTGTGTGTGGTCTTTGGAATCTTTTTTGCGTGTTTTCTTTTCGGCTAACCTTTTTCGCTTCTTCTCTCTGTTGGTTACACCGCTATTCTCGCGTTCTGTATTTAATTGTTCTTTGCTAGATTGTCTAGGGTTTTTTTTAAATCATTTGTCTGCACTCGCTCGAAGAGTTTAAAAGATTGGTCAAAATTCAAAGGTTGGAGAGAATCCCACAGATCAGATGTTCGTAAGCTAATTTGGGAGTACTCCTGAGCATTCGTTGTCACTGAAGAATCAGAATGAATTTCCGAGATCTTTGTATGATTCTTTTGTTGTTTTCGTAAAAATCAAGATCTGATCTTTAGGGGTCTCTGGTTCTCTCTTCTTGCAGAATTTACCTGTATCAGCAGTTCTCTTGAGAAGCGTTTGGCTCGTATGAAGTGTGTACTTGGTCAGATTCCTCCTCTAATTGTCCATTCAGCTGTCCTTGATGTTTTGGCGTGTAGCAGACCCATTGGCACATTTGTAGGCATTGGTGTTACGAGCGATCTATGGCGGTGATTGCTCGATGTCCAGACGTAGAAGAAGGTGCCAGTCTTCCCCTTAATTGTTTTCTATTCTTTTTTGGTAGTCCCAGTATCGAGATATAAATTGAGAATCTTGTGGTTCCTCATGCAGGCGACAAGGGAGGAACATAATTCTTCGGTTCAAAGAGTTTTTCCTGTATCACGTTGGAGCTGAAAGCTTGTCACTCAAGAAGAAGTGGTATTATGGCAGGAGGGGACGAAAGGGTTGAACTCAAGTTCCGCATCTTTGATGGAACCGATATTAGTCATAGTACCTACGCTTCGTCTACTACTATTGCAACACTCAAGGATAGACTAGTTGCCGAATGGCCTCAAGGTTAGATCATTTATTCTTCTATATTATTTTTCCTTTGCCTCTTTGAGTTCTGTGTTGTCTGAGACGGTCTTTGTAGATTCGCTCTACTTCACCGTCATCTGATCCATATAACATGTGATAGTGTCTGAGAGTTTTCGAAGAAGTTTAGTAGAAACTTGCACAATTGGCCCAAGTTGGCAAGTTCTCTCCACATCAATCAATCAGATTGGCCATTGAATGACACATTTGAAAATCTTTATGGCACGGAATCAAGAAAGATTCTCCCATTTCATAATAATTGAACCTGTCTTGCCCCAAGCACATAGTTGATGTACGACCAGCTGTGGCCTCATTTCTGTTAAGAAAGTCATATTCCTAGTCTGTAGACGTTCCTGAACCTATTTTGACTATGGAGCTTAGATTCCCCTTAGCCTGCATTAGCTCTACTTCACTTTTATTGTTTTATTTTTCTCGAGATACTAATGAAGCATATTAGCTACTATCAATAATTTGGTAGTTTAAAAGGTGTAGGGTTTCTGGACAAAGAAAAGCATGTAAACAAGTCTTAGTTTGTTCAGCTTGTAACCTTGTAAATCAACAATAGTGCATAATAAGGTGTTGATTGGGAATCCAAGTCTCAAATACAGTGTAGGCTGAATGTTGATAAAAAAATACAGTGTAGGCTGAAGCTTTTATGCATGGATTGAATATTTGAAGGCACCCAATCAGATCTTTCCATTTTTGTTTTTTATTGATTGGTACTATCATATTCTTTTTCATTTGCTTCACCGGTTGTGGAAATTCTTCTTTGTTCATCCTACTTTGGTTTCTAAAGGGTCAAAGAGGCAGAGTCGCAGATAGTAGTGCCTTAGTATGTAGGAAGAAGTATCATATAATCATATGGAATTAATTTCTCTTCCTCTTTAGAGGGGTTGTGTTGAGGCAGAGAGAATAAGTGATACTTCAAGAATTTTCATTTCTGTTGCATACAGAACAGTTGATGTAACCTTTGGATATGCAGTCAGTCTTTATTCAGCCGTCCTTCTCCTTGTTAAATGGGAACAAATTTTTACTATTGGCATAATTGCCACCCTACCCTGGTTTAGGTCTATCCTTGGCCAACCAATTTATAGCTTAAATTCTGGGCTTCTTGCACTCTATCAGATGTTCATTGGCAAGATGCAGGTAGCGGGTAGTGTTTAAAGACAAAGAGTGCAGCAAAACCTTAGGACTCAGTTATGTTCTCTTATTCAATGAAACAAAAAATCAGTTAAAAACTAGAAACTATGTGATACTCACAAAAAAAAGAATAATGATTAGTTGAACACTGCGGTAGTAGAATTTCATTACACATTAAACATACAAAAGAAGAGACTGATGCATGCTCACATGTACAAATTAGCTTTAGATGGTTTTGAAATCCCAATATGTTGAGCATATTGTATTAAATGTCGTTGGGAGACACTCTTTTTTAATTATCTTTCATCAGACATGCTAACTGCAATATTATGAGCCTCTGGATTTGAGCCTTTTAGAGCATCGTGTGGTATAAGACTCATGCATAAGCCACACATCCCTTTTATAACACCATATGGATTTTTTTTCTTTTATTTATTTATTTATTTAGAATCAGCAACCAATGGTCAAATAGGTTTTATTAATGATATGAAGAAAGAACCCCAGTTGATAGGTACAAGTGCAAATACAAGTAATACTTTTTCTGACAAGAAAACTAAACTAAGGCTTCAGGGCTTTAGCTTTGTTGTTGTAGCCCCAGGCCTCCCCATAACAAAGCAGACCTTCCAACCAACCTCTGACAAGAGAATTGGTTAAAGCATTAGCTAATCTGGAAACCCACCTGAAAGAAGTATTCAAGTATGCAGTTTGATAGTCTCTCTATGATAAACCTGAAAGTCCAAGGTCCATCTATTGCTGAGTGTACCCAATCAGTCACCACTCAGCAGTCACCTTCTATCACACCTATGTCCAACCAATAGCCAATTTCTGACCATTCTGAAGGACAAACAGTTTAGCCCTTAGAGAGTACACCCTTTTCTTTCACCTGAAAAGCTCAAGAGGATTATCCCTGTAGGGTCTTTTAAGTCTAAAAGACACCACCAATGCCTGATGGACCAGGGTTGCCCAGAGCAAAGCTGTCAAAGTTGAGGGCCTGTTTGGGAAGGCTGAGATGAAGATAAGCTTTGGTTCAGCTAAGCTGGTCCAGCTTCTTTGAACAAGTTGCTTTGGTTCAGTTACATAAATAACATAAACTATATTTGGTAACAATCAGCTTACCTGCCTAGGAAGTCAGACAAGTCAGATAATCTTGGCAAGACTCTTCAGATAAGCTATTCAAAGAGGCTGAAGCGGACAGCCCTTCAATTGGCTCATTGACAGCCAATTTGGCTCTCCGGATTCTTCACCAAACATAGCTTATAGGCTGTCTGTATGGACCCCACACGGACAGCCAGAAATTGCCGCCCTTCAGCCTCCCAAACTAGCACTGAGCTTAATGGCTCTGCTACTAGGGACCATTAGTTTTTATAGAAATAACCAGCAATAATCCTTCATTCCTTTGGTATAAAATCTCTTAAGATACCTTCGAATTCTTCTCTTGTGGCAATCCAATATGTGATTTTCATTGAGGTGCTGTCAAAGATATCAGTTGCCTGTTGTCGACAGATAATATGATTTATTTAGTTGTTTGAATCAACAGTTATATATGCAATTGACCTTTGCTTCCACTTTAGGCAAAAGATGATATGGCTTGTATCATGTGCCACAACAATTTGCATGTTACAGTCTATGATATCTGGATCGTGGTTCAAAGTGTCGATTCTACCAAAAGTCATTTTTTTAATCTTTTTGGTATCATATTTTCACAGGAATCTTACATCACCATCTTTTAACTATAAAAGCAACAGAATCTTCTAACTCCCCTAAAATAGCATTTCAGGGACCAAAAGATACGATATGACATGACCAATACAGGGCGTATTGTATCAATACATTGAACCTTTACCTGGATTACCTATGCATGCATAGCATACATGTATCAGACATAGATATTTGCCCAATAAGACACCAGATGCTGTATGGACTCTTTTAGGTATAACCTATAGAGTTAAAACTTTAAAATATGTTAATGGTATGTTTTAACAAATCATGCTATAAAGTTTTTCTATTGCTATAAAATTAATTTAAGTTTAGCTAGGCATAAGTTTTAACATATGACTGATACAAAAGCATGATATAAGCATATATTATATGGGATACCTGTATCTGTATGTGTCCATGATTTTAGGAAATGGAGATAGTATCTCCTTCCTGTATCAGTGTCTATGTAGGTAACTATATATAGGCATCATATTCATAGGTACAGTTGGGTTATGCAAGTTTGGTTGGGTTTATGCATCAAAGTTGCACACAATGTGCATGGTCCATGAGAATCCCATGGCAAAATAGTACAAAACAACTCAGAGCGGACCATTGTTGTGTTAGAGATGAGATTGATTTTGGTATGAGCCCCTCCCAGGACCTGGAGAACTGCAGTCAAAAGCATTTTTGTGTACTCCTTCCTTGGCTATATCAGCAAGGCTGTTTGCAATCCTTGGTATCCACATGAATGAATGGTTCATGTTGGATAAAAGTGATTTGATGTCCCTCAGGGTATTTCTGAGTCTAAGGACCTTCATCTTCTGCAATGAGCCATCCAATTATGGTTTTACAGTCTCTTTCAATGCTGATATCAGCCCAGCCATGAGAGTTGCACAGTCTCAGCCCATGCAGTAGTGCTAACTGCTAAAGTTTCTGCTCTCAGGGAGTTGCTTGCCCAATTGGACCATTATAGCTTAGTATAAGCTCTCTGTTGTGGTTTCTTACTTCAGCCCCTATTCCTGATGAGCCCAGATTACTTAGGCAGCAAGCATCAAAATTGAGTTTTTTATCGATAACATTGACTTTTATTAAATAAAATTAATCCAAGTACATCGATCAAAATTGAGTTTTGGCTTACCCTGAGCTGGTCTCTCCAATTTTCTAGTGTTGGTTCTTGGTTGTCTGCCAGGTCCATAGCTTGCTACACTCCAGCCTCTAAGGATGCAGTCTATCTTGATCCCTTTGAATTCTTCTCTATCCATTAACCAACCTTTACTGTTATATTTCCTACAAATATGTGCACCTCTGTCTTCCTTTCATTGAAGATTCTTTCATTATGCTCATTCTAAATCCTCCACACGGTTGCTGTCCTGGTGCTCTTCCACATAAATTTTCACCTTTTTGATTGTGATGGTGAGTTTTCCAAATACTCCACATGACTATTCACCATTTTTTTCATGTTGTCTTCTACTGTTATGGGTGAACTATGTTAGATGATTTATGTATACACTATGAAGTTTTTAATGGATTCTTTCCATTGCCAGACAAAACAATCATACCCAAGTCAGTAAACGATGTGAAACTCATTTACTCTGGGAAAGTTTTGGAGAACAGCAAGACACTTGCCGAGTCCAGAATACTTTTTGGTGATCTTCCTGGTGGGGTTATTACAATGCATGTGGTAGTGCAGCCACCTCTAGCAAGAAAGAAGACCGGTATGTCATGTTTCATTTCTTCATTTTGGTCAGCTCTTTTTGAAACTGGCAGGATTCTTGTTCACAAAAATCAAGCCAATCCCCCAATTTAAATGGTGGCAAACACCTGGTTGGATTTTTTTTTTTTTTTGGGATAAAGATTGCTTGGATTTAAGCAAAGCTCGCTTGGATTTACCCATGGTTTATTCCTTAATTCTTACTTTGGATCTGCCTGAAATAGGATTTGATTTTCTTGTACTTTCTGCTTATTTACAATTATATTCATTAATATTAATTAATAGTTTTTTATCAACAACTAATATTAATTAATATTTAAATATTATCAAAATCTATTAGTGAGCTCCAACATTTATGTAGTAACAATGCATTTAGTGACCTAGAATGGACATGGCACTTGACACCTATCCGTCTCCTGATACAAGAGCTTGACAAAAATATTTAGCAGTTTGTTCTAAAGTCTTTTCCATTCCCAAAGAGCACTAATTTTAGGGTGATGCATAAAAGAGGTAAAATCCATTCCTAAGTGATTGTGTCCAGACAGCAACAACTTCCTAATTCCTATAATCCTATCCCTCGTATTTTCTCCCTTTTATAATAAATTTCTTTCTTTTTTTGATCAAAAGTAAGTTTCTTTCTATTTACTAAAAAAAGGGTCTCAGTCAAAAGCCTCTTGTTTTCATTTATAGAAGTTCCTTCTCTCCTTTTATTCATGTCTGACTTTTTCTTTGGTAGATAAATAAAAATTTATACTAAGCAAAATATAAAAGTTAATGTTTAGCTCTTTGGTTCATGTTTGACTCTGAGCTCCATATGTTGGTATAAGAATTAGCTTGTGGGTTTCATTTTGTTTGGTAAACAAAAGCAAATGATTTTTTGGAGAGAGAAAATGAACAAGAAATTAAAAGAAACTCAGAACCAAAATCTCAAACCTTTAGGCTCAATTTGGAAGAAGTACAAATACAAAATTACAAATATGTAGAGTGCAAAACCTTATATTTTATATTATTTTGTATGTATTTGTACTCTTACCCTAATCAAAATCAACTGGAAAAACTCAAAACCATTGTCATCACCTATCCTCATGGATTAAAATATTGATATGTCTGATATCCGAACATGGGTATCAGTGTATATTGATATGGCCAATACTCACCCTTTTTATTTTTATTTTACTTTTTTTTTATTTTATAATGATCAGAGGGTTGGGGAAGAGGACTGAGATGTTTTAAATGTTTCAAAAAAATCTGTTTATTGGTGTATCCAAGCATATCTGGGTATACTGTTACTGATACAGTACGCCCAATATGTATTAATGCATAGTGTTAAGATGCAGATTATCTTTTTTTCTCCCATAGAATTGTATCAGATGGACCATGTATCCATAAGCAACATTCTGGTTGTTTACGTCAACTGTGGGGAATTAAGAGTTGAAAAAGCATTTAGAATAGGAAGCAATTCAGTTTAATAGCATATAAGTTTAAACCTTCTTTGTTGCGTCACTTTGTTTTTAGGGTATAACATCCGGTTTCCCTGCTGTTTTGATTTTTTTTTTTATTTTGGGAAACAGACAAAAACCAGGAGGAGATGCCAAAGCAAAACATGTGCTCGTGTACAATCCTTTAACAAGAGTTGCTTCTTTATACCACAACTAGAGAGGAAATCCGCCCAATTTTTTTGTCAGATTTTTTTTTTCCCACCAGAGTTACTTGGACCGATATTTCCCCATTCTCCCTGTTTTTTGTTTTACATGGTGGCCGTTGTTGTTGCGTTCCCATGTTGTAATCATTTTCTTTGTACAATTTAGCGCTAGTGTCATTATGTGAAATGAAGCCAATCCTTGTTTTTTTATCCCTCTGTTGCTAAGCTTTCTCCTTTTCCCCCAATTTCTAGTAAAATTTTCATTGTAAATTACGAGGAAAACAAACTCTCATTGTAAAAAAAAAAAAAAAGAACTAAAAGGGGTGGGGCGGGGGGGCATTGAGCAATTATATGTCATCAATTTTGAGCAAGTTGTAAAACCAGACTAACTATCGTTCTACGCGGCAACACTTGAGTTGGTATTGAGTCTATTGACATGTCGATTCTTTCTAGGGCTAATAAGCCTGAAATGAGAGCCATTGTAGAACCAATTAAAGACTCTAGGAGACGATGGATGAGTCTGTATCTGCTGCACTGGGTGGCTGTGTTAGGGGCTGTTTAATCGATAATAACGCCCCCGGTCAACCACCAAGTGCATGACTGTATGTGCCCCACGATACAACCACTCTAATCTCTTAATTGGTATGCATGGCTCTGACACGGGGCATTAACAGCCCTCAACACAGAATGCAGCTAATCCGGGAGCATGATGGACGCCAATGAGTGATAATCTGGCAAAGGGTTCAATTAATACAGAAAAATCGCCAATGAGTGGTAATTTAAGGGTAGTTTGATAAGTCTTTTTGGGAAGATCTTCTGATAGCTCAGACAGTTAAAAGAAACATTGAGATTTTGCATTAAGATCTGAGCGGCTTAAAGCTCTTTTGGTTAAGGCCTGTTTTTCCACACAAAGACAAATAGAAAAACATACACACATACACACAAGTTTAATTCGGAGCTTCTTGAAAATCGTTCGTTTTGGGCTTTTCGTGTCTTTTTGACATGTTAGCTTTTAATGGTTAGATCTACCGCAAACCAAATGAGAAACAAAATCGTTGTTTGCCGGGTTTGTAAATAGTTGGCAGATCACGTAGAAAGACCCACCAAACAGGGCCCTAATAAAGGGTTCAACTATGATAGTGGAAAGACATACAACCAATTAATCGGCATGATAACAGTGGATTTTCATCAAAATTTACAGGGGGTTTTGATTGGTCAAAGGCTCTCCCTGGCATCATATATTTTTCTTTCTTTGGCAAATTATTAATGTTATTCATTAAACTACACCAAAATTATTCATTAACCCTATTTTTGGCTTGAAATAAGAGATAGTAAAAGGGAAACCAAATACAGCCCAACTGGCTTTCAAGAATGAATAACCTAGTACCTTACCAATTTGTTGCATTGCTGAGCTTAACAGAACAATCCCGATTCCCGACTCAACTTTTAATGAGTGAAGGAATCTTGAGGTCTTCTCAGGGCTCGGGTGCTCAGCCATGGCCCATAGGGCTGCTCTCTCTGTCACAGTGTGACAGAAGCTGTGTATTATTGTTAGGGAGACTAATTCTAATTGTTGGTTCCTCGTCGTCGTCCTGGGCATGATAACTACCAAACAAATGAAACCTAACAACAAAAGAAAAGGTGAAGGTGCGGCTACATTCTGCAGGCTAGTTGGACAGGTCGACCTGCCCACGTGGTGGTGGTGGTGGAGAGCCAGAATCCCTCCCCCCTTAATCATTCATCCATTTTCATTGTGTGTATGTGTGTATGTGTGTATGTCTAATGTCTAATGATTATTTTGGAAGAAGCAGAAATTGTATGGCTATCATTCATCCATTTTCATTCATGACTTGATGTTGAAATCTGGACAAACAGTTGGATTCATCTTCAATGGTACCTTCTTCCTCGGTTTGGAAACCTCCAACTCCAACGGGCTTTCTCAACTCCAAAATAAGTTGTGACAGATGAACTCTCACGGATTCCCTTCCCATGGATGCTTTTGGCAGCAAGAGGAGCTGTAAAACCCTTATTTGTGGAGTCTAGTGGCATAATTCTAGCACTAAGGTCGCCTCTGAAACTACCAGTTGCACTAGCCGTTTATTTTTGGTTTTTTAAAGCTTTTTAGCTTTATCCAGACCTGTTGGTAGACTGGTGTCTCTTTTGTCACGATCGGATTTGGTCCTTACAAAATCGTTCTCACACTGTCGTCATAGCCCCTTGCAGCCGTGTATTGAGAATATCTCCCCATAAATTAAAAGATACAAATATGGAGATATTCTCAATGCATGGCTGAAAAAGGCTGCAAGGATGGTGTGAGCACAGTTTTGTGAGGACTGACTGAATCCGCCCTCGTCTTTATCCTTTACTGGATGTTATTTTGAGCCAGCTTTTTAAATGCTCTTAAGTCCTGCCCATGATATTTGCTATAAAATGAATGATTTTGTCTTTCAAAACAAAAATAGCTGCCACATCAGCAAAAACAACATATTTTCTGATGTGGTAGTTGTTTTTTTTTCTTTACCAAAACCCCTTTATTTAGCAAAAGAATGTGATCTTTCAAATGCGTAATATTTTAAATGCACATTTTATGTATTTCTTTTAAATGTAAAACAAAATCATGTAATTTTTCAAATAAAATAAGAAAATATGTTATATGTCATATAAGTATTCATTTAAGGGTTCGACTATGATATGGAAAATATATAATATCTGAAAAATAACTGACCAATAAACTGAAATCGTAAACATAGTAGTGAATCAGGTGTTATTTATCAAAATTCATGGGTAGGTTTTGATTGGTCAAAACTCTTTCCATATCATAGATTTTCCAAGTCATTTAAATATATGATATTGTCCTATAAATATTTAACCAATTACATTAATGTCTATTTACTTTTCATTTTGATTCATGTTTCTGCAAAATTTCTAATCTTTTCTTAAATGATTTACCAAATTGATGGTTATTTTATAAAATTTGCTAAAGTAGTTTGTAAATTCAGAAGCATAATTAGCTAACAATTGTGACTTGTAAGGAATGCTCATGGGCCCAATTAGGGTATGAAGGCCCGTGAATTGTATTGCATTATTTTTAGTTTTTATATTTAATATGCATTAATAATAAATAACTCACATTAGGATAAGGAGAAGACAGAAGAAAGAATTAGGTAGTGAAAATAAGGTAAGCTCATAGTGCCTCCATATGCTGTAGATGGCAATTTAATAAGAACCTTGTTTCATGCGAAGGGAAAGCCATAAAAGAGAGCTTTTGTGATACCACAGCCAGATTAGAAGCCATAGTTAATACTCCCATACCCCCACCTTCTGACACCAATCCACTGCTGAAAAGTTGCTCCTCATGTGAGACTGAAACCCAAAATTCTTCGATGTCAGCCCAAATCAGGGCCCATGTATGTGTGTGTGAGAGAGAGAGAAAAGTAAAGAGAGAATAGCCGACAGCTAGTTGTCCTTCTCCAGTTTTCTTATCCCGTCATCCTTTATTTTTTCATCCCAATTCCCAAACCTAAAGCCTTATCTTTAGTCTTTCCGAAGGCTTAAAAAACAAAGGGACACCCGAGACCCCAGCAAGCACCTCCTCCCCGTATTTTAACCGCGTTTATAGGGAATGCAAATGGATCGGATTAGTTTTGAATCAGGGTATATTTGAATTTAATCCGAGACTGTTTATGTTAAATTCAATGGATTTGATTCGATTTTACTTGTATTTCTTAAAAATTAATAAATTACTAAAAGAAAATTAAAATATACTAATTTAAATAAAGTAAAAACAAAAATACAAATAATTATAAAAATATAATATAAAAAATATATTTATAAATAAATAAATAGTCTATATATATATATATATATAATACATATTGGATCGAATCTTCTCGGATCAGATAGGGGTGATCCGAATTCGACCAAATAGGATTGAATCTCGGGTTAGATCGGATCATGATCAGATCCATTTGCACCCCTACGTGTTTCCATTTTTTTTTCAAACCAAACAGCGACCTGAATCATGGTTTCCTTTACCTGGACGGTCATACCGTTTGGCCCAGAACCGATTAGGTAATCGATTATTTTTTACCCTTGATTTACTTTTTTATTTTAATTATTTTTTAGATTGCAACAAGTCATCCATTCAAACCGGATGGTCGAACTGCTAACCCGAAAAACAATGGCCAAAACGTTATAATTCCAAATTGGTTTTTAAAACATTGTGCTGGATCCACAGCTTCATTGTTGGTGCTACTTTTCTCGGTTCCCTAATCAACCCGCCCGACCCGCCTACCCCTGCAATGTAACGACTTACAACATATTTCCCCGGTCGGATTGTATTTCATTCCCCTGCTCACATTTTGGATTTATTTGCCGGGACCACCGGATCAGATAGGCGGATATCCATGAGTCCGGATCCCCTACCAATAAAATACATTCCCACACGCTAGCAACATCATCTGACACGGCACATCTCATGTATAATAGGTCCCACTTTTTTATGATAGCCCCAATTTCATCAGTCTGATGTATACTGTTAGATGAATGGGTAGAGTGTTGAAATTGACAGGAGATATTATTGTGTAGTCTCGATACCCAACAAATCCGGATATACTACGCTCATCCAGCCATATGTTGAGAACATCGGTGACCACAACTGATGTTCCATATGCGCGGCTGCACGAGCGCTCCTACTTCCCACCTTAAGTGGGCCCCACCCTGAGCGAAAATCGTAGGGGGCCCACGTTTACCCACTGAAGGTCTGAAGCCACCCAGCCTGGGTCTACGATACGAGGTACATTACACTACAGTGTAACATTGATACCCCCCCGCCCCCCCACACCAAACCGCTTGTTTAACATGTGCCTTATCGAAATTCGGAACCCCATATCTGGGCCCCACCATCACCTCGTAAAACTGCAGCCGTTGGATTTTATGACACTCACCTACTCTTTCCCATACTTCTAAAAAATAATACACATTATCTTTAACGAGTAGTCAATTACTGTTTTGAGCTTTGTTTATTAATCAAAAGACGTTGGATCAGGGACCATGACGGGGTCATTTGCCCTTTTTACGGTCCGCAAATCGAATGGCTTTGGAGTCCGATCTCAATCAACACAATAAAAAAAGGGACTAATAATCTAATATTTTAATTTTTTTCACCCTTTCTATTTCTGCCCCCAAAAAAAATATTTTAATTTTTCACCCGTTCACACTCGACACTCGAGGTGGGCTCCATTTCATTTCGGGCCGTTGATGATAGTTGCCGTAAATTTTTCTAGTACTCAGGGGTAATATGGTCATAAAAAATGGCAGTTCAATAGAATCCGGAAGATTACGTAGAATCTTAAATGTTAAATCATGTAATTATCAAGTGATTAACTACTTAGTTAACCTCTCTCTCTCTCATTTTCAACTATTAACCACTCTCTCTATTTATTATTTATATATATATATATTTATTTCTTTCTCTCCTTTACCTTCTCTTCCTCGCTTCTTGTTTCAGTGTCGCGGATTTGTTGATCTGCTTATGATCACCTTTTCTTTGCTGTTTGGTAATTGGTAAGGCATTGAGGGCAGAAAAGGTTCGAGTGAAGATCCACCCAGAAGAGGAGTGAGAGATATGAAGCTTGGAATTCTCTGGTTGGTAGTGAGGAAATGAAGAGGAGGGGTTGTTAAGGATCGACCATTTCTTGCTCTCTTCTTGGGTTTATTTGATTTGAGATGGGCGGGTGTCTCCCCTGTTTCGGATCGCCGGGCAAGGAGAAAAGTGGTGTTAAGGAAGGTGGGAAGAAAGATTCTGTGAAGGAGGGTTCAGCTGCTCAGTCTCACCATGTGAGCAGAGTCAGTTCGGGTAATTCTTTCTTTCTTTTAGTGTTATGATTTCGATTTTGTTCTTAGAAGTTTTCACTGCTTGAGACACGTTGTGGGTTTTGAATTTTGTGTTTCGTGATGTAGTCTTGATTGTCTTGAATATGGGGCTGCTGTTGAAAATTGTGATAATTTTGATCGTTTCTTTTTATTTGCTTTGGAGGTTTAACCAGTTGGGCTTTTGTATCTCTTCAAGTTTGATGTCCACGGGTGCATTGCTAGTTTGCCAGTTTCTTCTCTCCGTTATTGCTAGTGTTCTTTTCTGTCTGTTAGTCTATTGGTTTCAAGAGCTGTTTTTGGGGATCTTTGTTTGTCTTAAAAATCGTGTCTCTTTCCATCGCAACATCGATTGCTCTTTCGTTATATGGTCTTTTCTCGTCTATAAAATCGTGTCCCTTTCTTAGTTAAATCGCAATACTGATTGTTCTTTTATATGGTAAACACAGAGGTGGTTTTTTCTCGTCTATAAAATCGTGTATCTTTCTTACTTAAATCACAATAATGATTGTTCTTTTATATGGTAAACACAGAGGTGAGGAAAATGCTGATGAACTGGTGAGCTTGTAACTTGAATGAGGTGCTTTCACTTTGTTATTTGGTGGGTAGGAGACAGAATAACGTCTTAGAACCTAATCCATAAGTAAAAAAGATAATTTTGGAAATCTTAATTTTAGGCTGCATATGGCATTCCTTATTTTAAGGGCCTGTCTCCTTTTTGCTATTAAAATCTCAGTGTTCATAGGGGCATTTTAACTGCAAAAAGGAGACAAGTCCTTAAAATAAGGGATGCCAAATGCAGCCTGAGTTTGATTTGGCCAATCTATGATAAACTGTTTATGTTGAGGGAATCCAAATAAGCTCCTATAGGCCATGTTTTGTTTACAAGAACAAAGACTTGACAGAAGGTTCTTATGGAAATTCACAAATTTCCTTAAGAACTTTCCCTCAATTTTATATTTCTCTCCTATTTTCTATCAAACTAAACATAGCAATAGCGTCATGTGATTGAAGATTGGTGAACTGAAAGAAAGATCATTGTAGCATTTGATTTAATTTTAGGGTGATTGAGAACAGTCACAAATGCAAAATTGTGGAGGGTCTATCAGCTTATTTTGTATGGGTTTTACTTCACATACACCATCTCTTAGTTGTAATAATTTCCTTAGTTTTTTTATCCTATTGTCATTCTTTCGTTTCAATATTTTTTTTTTGGTGTTCATTTTTCATTTTCATCCCTTTGCATCTTATACGCTTGGTGATGCAGATAAATCAAAATCTCGGATCAGTTCTGACTCTAAGAGGGAAACACCAGCAGCAAAAGATGGGCAGACTACAAATATTGCTGCACAGACATTTACTTTTCGAGAGCTTGCCGCTGCCACTAAGAACTTTAGGCAAGAGTGCCTTTTGGGTGAAGGAGGATTTGGACGGGTGTACAAGGGTCGCTTGGAGAGCACCGGACAGGTCAGTTGTGGCCATTCAAATTTTTAAGGCCCAGGAAATAAATAGTGGAATTGAGAGAAGCCTAGGACTGAATGTTTCTGCTGATTGATATACTACACAAGTATATGCACTGTTTCATATTTCACTGATTGTACAGAACGTAAGGACAATTCCCCAGTGTTGGTTCCAGCTATCAATGTCCATGATCTGGGGAAGGGTGGACTGGATTAACCTTTGGCATTTTTTTGCATGGCCACTCTCAGACTCAAACCCATGTTCTCTTGCTTGTTATCCTGAGATTTTACCACTGCACCAAGCAATGACCCTCTTGACATTTTACTGATCACACAAAATCCTCGTGTTAGTTTTCTAAATCATTGATGTTGAATATCTTTTACCTTGACCTTCCAGTATGAAACATTGTTATGAAAAATGTTAACCATGGGTCTCATATTCTGCTTTTTAGTTAATGTGAAATAATTGTCCTTGCAGATAGTTGCCGTGAAACAACTTGACAGGAATGGCCTTCAAGGAAACAGAGAATTCTTGGTGGAGGTTCTCATGCTCAGCCTCTTACACCATCCTAACCTTGTTAACTTGATTGGTTACTGTGCTGATGGAGATCAACGTCTCCTTGTATATGAGTACATGCCTTTGGGATCTTTGGAGGACCACTTACATGGTTAGGTTTCATGACCATCTATGTGACAGTTATTAAGTACATCCTGATATATTGATAAACATAGTGCACATTTTCTTCGGATGGTGTGGAAAAGTTAAAAGCATGTAAATATTCAATGGTTCATTTTCCTGAAATCCCCCTATCGATTTGTGGTAATGTTATGAAGTATCCTTTGCAATATCTCTTTTGGATAGTCAAACAAGTATATGAATTATGTGGTCAAGTAGATGCATCTTAATTCTTGGCTAGTACAAACTCAATCATACCTCTGGCAGTCAAGTCACCTATACATATATATATTGGTGAAAGGAACATATGTTTGTGTCTTTTCTCATTAATTAAGACAACCAAAAATCTACCCTATGCATTTCTGCATGGCATCATGGGCAAGTCTGACTCATATTCTCATAGAAACTTCTTAAACCTTGTTGCCCTACGCTTGTTTTCTTTGATTGGTAATTCTACACTTGTTAAGTGATGCAATTATAAATATCTTTTATTGTATGCATGCATAAACAGGCATACATGTGTTTACAGAGTCATAGAAAATCCTGTATATGCATAGCACACACATGAAATCATGAATCTCATGAGTAGTATTACTTTTCCAACAAGTTGAAATTTTCTATTAAACCCTACAAATTTTAGATCCCTACAAACATACACTTGTCAAATTGTATAAGATAAATTTTATTTACCTCTTGGGCTCTATTTCTTGTGGTGATGCATAATGAGGTTGAATAAAGATATTGAAATCTCTTGGAAATATTTCATCTACAAAGTGGAGTAGTTTTGATCACTTTATTCTGGAGTTTCAAAGAGTAACAATTCATCAGAGTTTGCCAAATATTGGCTGAAGACCCTTCCCCAAAAGCATCCTTTTTGTTTGGCCTTCTGTTGTTGCTCCAAGATACAGCTTATTGAACCTCTTATTTATAGATAACTTAATCTAAGTAGCCTGGGATTGATTGTTGCATTGAAGCTATTAACCTATTACCTTCTTTTTCTCAAATACTGTTGCATGGAGAGCAGTGCTGATCATGTCCTTTTTTTCCCGTAACAATGAAAATAAATTTTTTTGGAGATAATTAAAGAAAAAAAAATATTACTAAAAAGAAGCAAGTACTACAGAACTAGGTGACAAGATGTCACCCCCACTAAATACAAAGAAGACAATACATAAACCACCAAAAACACAACTTTCAGGATCGAAAAATAGACATCAGAACTCCTTTGGTGAATTCAGAGAAGTCCAGAAATCAGCACCAAGATCTTCTTTTTTCAGCCCATGAAACTCTGGAAGTAGTAGCACCCAACCAATAACTGTGGAACTGGTGACAGCCACCACCTCTTCCATTTTTTTCTTTTTCTCCTAAAAAATTCTTCTGTTTCTTTCCTTCCAGATCTCCCAACAAACAGCAAAGGGAATACAGGTCCATAAAATCTTAGTTTTTACACCACCTTGGATTCTTGGCCAGCAACTAAAGATATCAGCCGGATCTGACATGGAGCACCTATTCACCTTGAACAGCTTGAAGAAGTATAACCAGACTGAAGTTGTAAAGCTGCAATGAAGCATTAGATGAAGAAAATTTTCCTCTCCAGCAAAACGCAGCACACACCTACTTGGAAACTGATAGCCTCTGAGCTTAATGTTGTCCTGAGTTAAAATGCACCCTCTAGCAATCATCCAAGCAAAGGCTTCAGCCCTTGGAGGCACTGGTTTCCCCCAGATACCCCTAACTGGATCGGCCTCCACCTGATTTCTGATCAGAGCCAAATATATAGACTTGACTGTGAACTTCTCATCTTACACTCTTTCCATAATAGTATGTTTGATTTGTAATGTAATCTGAGAGTCTGTTCTCAGCCTTTGCTCCTTCTTTGGGGCTTCTTTGTATGGATCTGAATTCTTTCAATAAATTTACTTTACCTTTTTCAAAAAAAAAAATTCTGATATCTGCAACTGAGGGATTGATTTCCAAGGCCTGAATCTTAGCCAACAGCTCCAAACACTCTTCCACCTCCCAGTCGAAAAGTGGTCTTCTGAAGTTTGGATTCCAACAATGAAAAGAATTTTATTGAAAGAAAGAAGAGCTTCAACCCATATTAGGATTGAGGGAGAACATGCTGCAGCCTATGGCTGGCTATGAATTAAGCATGGAAATTTTCTTGATTACATTTCCAGCACTGGGACTGGGGCCCCCCAAACTAGTTCTATCCTTACTACCCCTGCCCTTGCAAGTGAATCCACAAGGCTGTTATATCTAGAGGTCCAATTGAGTGAACAGTTCATATTGGTTGCCAAAGCCTTTGCTTCCCTAATCAAATGTCTCAGGATCCAAGGACCAGAAAACCATGAGATAACAATTTGATAGTCTCCTCCTCCAACTGATCAAGTCAATTACACACCCAACAATCTCTAATAACCATTACCAAATTCATATCTGCAAGTTGTTCCTTTATCTGTATAGTTGGCCATATCTTGGTACTAGGTGTAAAAGAATATTCTGTATTTACATAGTTGGTTTCAAACTTTCAATTAGAACAAGGGGGTTAAATGACCAGTGATTGGTATCTCTGACTGTGTCAAGTTCATGACTTCTCTGCCCTCCAGTTCAAGGACTAGCAGTTTAGCATTAAAAGTTTCTTAATCTTCTAAGAGTTCCATGTCGTCTTAGATAATGTAACATACTTTCTGTCTGATTTTTTTTTATCAATAACACTTTCATTAATTCATCAGTAGAAAATTTACAAGTGGAAGACAAACACACTTATCTTCTAAGAGTCACAAAGAACTTCAAGAAATGAAAAAGAAAATACAAAGATACAAAGACACTAACGTTACAGCTTAGCCCAAAACAAAGAATCCCTTTCTGCCCCTTGTTTTGCTAAACCGTCAGCTAGGGAATTAGCTGATCTTTTAATCCAACATGTCTTAACTTCCATCTCCCGCACCAGCCATTTGAATTTCCTCTTCTCATTATTATA